CCAATACTTCTTTTATTTACTATGTTTTGGCTGCAAGTAAAAATGACAGAGAGAGAGAGAGAGAGAGAGAGAGAGAGAGAGAGAAGTATAAATGGCTTATACTGGAAAGGTCATTTGTTGGATCCACAACAAAAGTCTGCAAGTCAGCCTAAAGATGAACAAAAGCTACTAACATTAGTAGAGCCCCAAGGAGGAGCAGGGGCCTGCTGGTCCCTGCTGCTTTGCCAGCCCTCTCCTGTCAACCCTGAACCAGAGTCAGACTCAGATGGCAAAGCACAAGTGTGGCTGGCAGTCATAGACCAGCCTTACACAACTGCTTATAGAAGGAAGGGCTTATAGCTCAGTAACTGTCACATCTCTAAAGAGATACACTGAGACCAAAGTATTCATATGAGAATAGAATTGAGAAATTGCAGCCAAAAACAATTGTAAGAGATTCATGTCATGAGCGTGTCAGACAGTAGAGAAAGGTGTGTATATGGCTCTTCTGGATTTGTGTGGTGTCTTAGCTATCTTGTACTTTTAATTATTTATACATGCTAAGTAATCACCCACTCATTACCTTAAATAAATAAAAAAGATTTTTGACCTTCCCAGTAGTACATGGGTATCACAAAGACTCAAGAATAACGGTGGTGCCTTCAAACCTGCTCCAAGAGAGCCCAGCCCAGCTGGCAAGCACAGCTAGCACTTAGCCTCACAGCAAAAAAAAAAAAAAAAAAAAAAAAAAAAGGAGACCAAGGAGAGAAAAGGGAGGGGAGGTGCAATCCATCCTCGAGTGTTCTTGCTTTCTCTAAAAATTCTATGCTTTCTACTAATCCCCTGTCCATGCTAGAGTTTAAGAACAATCCATCACCCCTAGCTTTGGAAAGAGGAACACAGTGCAGTGCTTCTGCTTGGGGTCAGAACCACCCTGACCAGGGGCTGAACCCTCCCCTGAACCACTGCTCTTTCTTTCTGTAGTAGGCAGACCCTATGGACAGCAACAACCTTTCTTCATTTTGTATAGGTCATGGAGTAATCTTTGCCCTCTCTCTCCTTCCCTGCCACCCTCCTGCCTGCCTCTCTCTCTCTCTCTCTCTCTCTCTCTCTCTCTCTCTCTCTCTCTCTCTCTCTCTCTGTCCTCCTGCTTTCCCTCTGTTGTTTTTTGAGGCAAAGTTTCTCTATGTAGGCCTGGCTGTCCTAAAACTCTGTAGACCTTGAACTCAGAGATCAGCCTGCCTTTGCCTTCTGAGTGCTGGGATTAAAAGCGTGTGCCACCACAACTCAGCTTCTCTCTCTCTCTTCATGGGGTAGCCTGTATGTATTTCTCTGTTGTTCTTGTTGAAGTTGCTTTATATAGTCAGCTTTATATAAACCAAGCAAACAAATAACTATTAGCTCTTCAAAGGAAGGACTTGTCCTTTCCGTCTTTTATTGCCTTCATACTTTGTATCGGCATTTCATTCAGTTGCAAGTAACAGTGATCTGGAGACTAGTCACTTAATCATGTGAGGTTTATTTCTCACATGAAGTGCCTCACTAGACTGTCTGCCGAGGTTATAGCAGCCCTGTAGGTCATCACCAGTTTATTCTGTCTCTGCTGTGTGGCCTCTTAGGAGTACCCTGTGCTATGTGCAGCGAAACAGAAATGGAAGACAGAGATAGGTGTCCATTTAAAAAGGCATGCTTCTGAAAGCCCTGCGGGATCCTTCTGCTCATGGCTCTTTGCCCAGAAACTGGAAATGTAGCCACCGCCAGCTATAGAGCAAGCTGAAGGATGGTCTTTTAGTTGATTGATAAGGTACCTGACTGAAAACTGAGTCTGGTGCTGTAATGATTAATGTGACGGACAACTTGATTGGATTAGTAGGCTCTGGGGCATTAGGGAGGCACATCTCTGGGGGTGTCTGTGAGGGCTTTTCTAGGGAAGATTAGCTAAGGAAGTAGGGAAAGCCCACCTGGATGTGAGTGCCAACAGTCCTGCCTTCTAAGAACCAGGTGGAATGAACGTGGAACAGCCAACCCAGTGCCTCCAGTAGACTGTTTCTGACCGCCTCCTGCTCACGGCCTCATTGTCACGGTACCCTGGATCCCCTGAGCTGGGAGGCAGAGTCAGCCTCACCGACCAGCAGTGGCTTCTTCTCAGCTCTTCCTTCAGTCACAGCAAAGAAAACACAGCAATTAGCTTACTGAGGAGCAGCTGTGTGCTTTTGGATGATAGTACCTCAGAGTACTCCCTGAGGACCGTCCTAAGGGAGGGGCTTTAAAGGTTGAGCGCCTAGGAGAAGAATGGGGCAGAAGGGCTCTGATGGTGGGCTAGTTCACCCCATACTGTTCATTTGAGGGAGAGAGTTCATGGGATTAAAGGCTTGTTTGTTTGGGCTTTACTTAAAATTTTTATTTGATCATTATTATACAAATCCGTAAGAAGATTTATTAATTTAGAGAAATGTAGAAAGAAAACAGATACCTGCTCCTTCCTGAGCCCAGGATTAACATTTTAGTGTGCTTCACCCCAATCTCATTTTAATAAGCAAACTGACCTGTTTGTATTGATGGTTTGCTTTAGAAAAACAAAAAGCCCACAACACAAAGTTTCCCCTGTCTCTGTGCCTGGCACCCACCCTTCAATCACTGTTGGTATAGATGTTGCTAGCACATTTGTTTTCCATATTCAGCAGCTACAAGCTGTCATATTCTCCCTGTCACTTTGTATAATAGCTACCCCACCACACACTCACATGCCTTAACCCTGTCACCACAGGCCCTCCCTTGTCATGTTCCCAACACTCCTCCCTATAAACATCCCTCACTTATTAAACATGTCCCTGTTGCTGGGCTCTTGAGGGCCCGGGTGGTTTGGATAGGAACAGCCCCCAGATTTGAATACTTGGTCCTTAGAGAGTACAGCACTACTCCTTAATGACAGGGATTAGGAGGTGTGGCCTTGTTAGAGGAAATGTGTCTCTGGAGGTGCACTTAGGGGCTCCTAATGTCCACACTAGGACCAGTCTCTCTCTCTCTCTCTCTCTCTCTCTCTCTCTCTCTCTCTCTCTCTCTCTCTCTCTCTTCCTGCTGCTTGTGGATCTGGATGTAGAACTCTCAGCTGCCATGCTCCTCCCATCATGATAATAGCCTAAACTTTGGAACCTGTAAGCCAGCCCCAATTAAATGCCTTTTTATACCTATTATCATGGTCTTGGTGTCTCTTTACAACAATCGAACAGTACTTAAGATGGTGGCTTTTAATCTTTCTTTACTTCAAATAATAAATGGGAGTTTCTGAATGCATGTCCATGCATGAACATAGCCAAAAAATAAATTGCTAGGAGTAGAATTTCTGTGTCACATGCAGTTTGAGTTTTGATAGGTACTATCAAATTACATATTGCATTGATTAAAAAAGTGTTCTCCCCAACCAGCCTGAGAGTATCTGATACCCCATGGCCAAATCAAAAGTATGTTTTCAGACTTCTAGGTTTTTTTTTTTTTTTTTTTTTTTTTTTTCCCGTCTGAGTCTTCCAGAATTTATCTTGGTCAGGTTACTCACAAATGCCTGTAACTCCAAGGACCCATACACACCTCCCACCCTGACCCCTGAATGCATGTACACATAAATAAAATCTTTAAAAGAAAACCTGTATTGATTTAATTTTAATCTGACTTCCTCTGGCAATAAGCAGGGTTAGCCTATAGCTTTATCTGTGCCCAATGCTCACTGAGCATGATCATTAATCATGGGATTTCTCAGTGTACAGTAGTCACACTGTCCAGTTAGTGTGTGGTGATACTTGGTGTTGTTTCATTTCTGAGATATTTTAAGAGACTTAGAATATGGGGGAAATAACTCAGGATTCCTTTAAGAAAAGCAAGAACAAGCTAGAGACAGGGCAGTATACTGCATACCTATAACCATGGTTACGGCATCTTGTGTTTGCCCTGTGTAAAGAGCTACACAGAGCTCAAGACAGACTGCCTCTCATCAGTGCCCTGTTAGAAGCTGACTTTCTTGGAGTCATTATGGATCAGAAAGTGTGGGGAGGGGAGACACCGCCTTTGTGCTGAACCTCCCAGATGCACGGCCAGATGAGTGTGGGACAGCAAGGGCAGCAGTGGGATTGGAGGAAGGTGACTCAGTGTGTGAGAAAAGAAGACTCAGGAAGGACTTTCCAGCCAGAAGTCAGGGAAGAGGTCAGTGAGACAGTGCCTCCAGGCAGAACTAAATATGGGTCTGCAGGGTATTTAGGTCACAGAAAAGGAAAGTGCTCAACGCCATCCATCAAAGCAGAGGTGCTGTGATCTAACATGGCCCTTATCCTACAGATATGCCTGGGGTGCTCTGTGGCCCGGTTCCACCCCAACCTAAGTCACATTCCATCTGTCTGTCATCTTAGCTTCTTTGTCTGACATAGTCCTACATGGAGTTGAGCACTGTGGGAGAAGGGGGTTAGCTTGAATGTTGACAGCCATTGCAAATAAACAGTCACATTCCAAGCAGAGGGGATGAGTCTAAGAATGTTTAGAGACCATCTTCATGTTTATATCAAGCGACAAGACTTTCTACAGTACTTCCTACATAAAATTGTCACTTTAAATCTAGATTGAGCATTTGGTCCTACTATCACTATAGCTCTGTTGAGGGACATTTAGTTACAGAAGAGACTAGAGAGGCAGGGCAGTACTAGGGAACTTTATGAACACAAGTTGGAATTCCTATGATATTAAATTAATAATAAAAAGGCACAAAAGTTAGAGGGTAGGAAGAAGAGGACAGCTCTGGAAGAAATTAAAAAGTGGAGTTGGAGTAAATATGATCAAAAGGCATTATATGAAATTTTCAAAGAATTAATAAAAATGTTTTTAAAGACTCAAGGTTGTTATATAACCTTGCACACACAAAATCACAGCTATTGTTCAGTATCAAACTAAGCTCACTTTACTTCCTTTGATGTAGCTCAAACTGTCTCCAGACACTGTAAACAAGGGCTTTTGTTCACAGCAGTGTTCTGTCTTTCCAGGCATCCTATAAGCCACTGTTGAAACAGGTTGTGGAAGAAATATTTAATCCTGAGAGGCCAGATCCCATTGACATTGAACATACATCCTCAGGCCTCACTGATCTCCTTAAAACTGGATTCAGCATGTTCATGAAGGTAAGTAACCATGACGGGGACATCCTCGGTGTCCCCATTGCTGAGCGTAGGAATGCTGGCACACAGTGCCAGGGAAACAATGGTCTTCTATAATCAGTGCAATCCTCATCGACCATTTGATGGTGTGCAGTGCAAGCTTCTTTGGACCTGAGTCCTGTCATCTCTCCTCAGCCACACATACACCTACGGTGGGGTTTCAGGCATCCTCAAGAGCACCACTGGGCAGCTTTTACACTCATGATCCATTTGCTGCCAATATGAGCACATTTACTACCATTCACTGGGCTTAGTGGCATCCTTTGCTCTTAGTTCTAGAACTTACTCTGCAGGGTAATGAGCAACTCTGTATACTCCTATGACTAACATCACCCCGAGACTCATTAGAGATGGTATTTGTTATGGTCCAGCAGACTCCTTGAATCTCTTGGGCCCATGTCTGGGCTGGGTCAGAATGACTGAGCAACCCTCCAAGTAGGGATGAAAGGAGGGAAAAGTACACAAATGGGATCTATTTTTAAGCCACTGTAAAGTTTCTAAATTTAAAAGGATCTAAACAAGATTACAGACTGACCTCCCAGGCTATGCCCGTATTTCAGCAGTAATAACTCTTGGAAATAACAGAATGTTTTGCCAGCTTCAAAGAGTCTTTGAAATCATGAATTCATCTGCATAAAAAAATCCAGCCTTTGGGAGTTCAATAAAAGCATATTCCAGGAAAACTGGCCCATTACAAAAACCAGAGAGGACAAGAGCCAGCCATCGGATTGGAAACCAGCAATAAATTGGCTGAAGTGGCCTTCCACCCTTTGTTTGGCTCTCCCCAAGAACCGGCGGCTTCTGATGCAATGCCTGGCCACTCATTTTCCTTTTCTTTTTCCTTAATAAAGCAACACAGCTCAGCTTCTTAAAAGTGACCAGAGCTCCTGTGCTGAGTCTAAGCCCAGGGTTGTTGGGTTATTGAGTCACTGCTACTCTGTCCTGAGGAGCTCTTCCTGGTGGCCATTTGCTTTAAAACAGGAAAAACAAACAAACAAAAAACTTAAAAAGGAAAGAAATAGGAAGGAAGGAAGGGAGGAAAGGGAGGGAGGGAGGGAAGGGAGGGAGGGAGGAAAGGGAGGGAGGGAGGGAAGGAGGGAAAGAGGAAGGAAGGAAGGGAGGAAAGGGAGGGAGAGAGGGAGGGAGGGAGGGAGGGAAGGAGGGAGGAAGGCAGCAGTAACTTTTTGGATAGACATGATTTCTAACCCTCTGCATTAAGTGCTTCCTCTCTAAGTCTGGACATCCAGTGGTGACCATGGACTTGATCAGGATGTTAGTTGCGAGTTAATTCCCCAAGTGCATTTTCTTTTTTTTTTTTTTAATTTATGTATTTTTATTTATTTATTTTTTATTTTTTTTATTTTATATAACAAAGTCCAATTAAATGAAAACAAACATTTATACACAATATTTGGGAATTTGGGCGTTGTTCTTTCCAAACTACTTCCTGCTGGTAAGGGGCGCTGTCATGGGGGATTCGAAGAAGATTCAGAAATCCTGGCTGTAGTCTGTAGGGCTGCTTTGTCCAGCTGTTTGGAATGTAGGATCACTTCGTACTCTGTTTCAAGCGGTCTGGCGTGATCAAACCACATTAGTCTGGAAGGAATCCACATCTTTTCATTTTCTGTGGAAACAAAAATACTGGGGAAAATCCTTTTCCCCGGGAACTTGTCCTTCAACTTAAATTTTGGAGTCAAAGCATTTTTTTTTAATTTAATTTATTATTTTACATGTCGATCCCAGTTCCCTCTCCCTTATTCCCTCCCTACCTCCTTCCCTCCCTCCTTCCCTCCCTCCCTCCTTCCCTCCCTTTTACCCTCTCTGCCCTCTCACATGCACGCCAACCACCCTCCCCTCCCATCCCCCCACCCCAATTCCATATGTAGGGGGAATGCCATCCAGTTGGGGTCATGTAGATCTGAAAGGTCATGTGAAGTAGGGACTAGGGCTTCTCTCCTGTCTCTAGATTAAGGCAGTTATCCCTCCATGGGAAATGTGTTTGCAAAGTCCTTTTGTGCACCAGGGATACATCCTGGCTCCACTGTCTGAGGTCCCTTAGACTGCTCAGTCCTTCTGACTGAGACCCATATTCAGGGGGGCCTGAGTCCCATGCTGGCTTCCCAGCTATCAGTCTGGTGGCCCGTTAGCTCCTCCTTGTTCAGGTAAGCTGTCGCTATGTGTTTCTGCAGCCTGGTCTTGTCCTCTCCAACTGCATCTGGGTTCTAGTTCGACTCAGTGTTTATGTATAGGTGTTTGATCCTGTTTCCAACAGGCATTAGTTGAGGGCTCCATGGAGAAGTTAGTTGTTGATCTCACTCTCCAGGAAGGGCATTTATGATAGCCTTTCCACTGAAGCTCAAATTGTTAGTTGGCGGCAGTCTTGTAGTTCTCTAGACCTTTCTTTGTGTTCAATTTTATCTTCAAACCAATTTTGGCTCCCTCTTTTATGTTCTCTCTCTCTCTCTCTCTCTCTCTCTCTCTCTCTCTCTCTCTCTCTCTCTCTCTCTCCCTCTTTCCTGTCTTCTATTCCTAACCAGGCTCAATCTTCCTGGTCGCACATGTTTTCCTATCCTCCCCCTCATTTTCTCCTACTTCTCTCTCCATTTGCTGCCCCCCCCCCCACTTCCCCTGAGCTCTGAGGGACTTGTCCCTTCCCAGTTCTGTGAGGGACTTTATATGAATCTCTTAGAATACACCTTGTATCCTAGTTCCTCTGGTGGTGTGAATTATAGGCTGGTGATCCTTTGACCCAAGTGCATTTTCTGTCACTGTTCCATGAATCAAGAGCTGTCACACTTGAAAGTCACCCCTGTAAGTTCTGTGGAGTGTTTTCTCCCTCTTGTCCTGTGCTCAGACATTCCACCATCTTACATGGCATTGCTTAGGGAGTTTGGGCCCCTGGTGTGTCAGCAACGGGAGGTGGGATATTCTGCCCTGTTGTTGGAGCTCCTGAAGAAAGGCCTGGGCAGCCAGCTGACCTCAGGGAAGGCTCCTGGGTACAGATTAAGGAGGAGAATTTAGTTCTCCCAGTTGCTATAACCTCTTAAAAGCCATGTTGAGAAGAAGGCAAAACTAGACAGAAGGACTTCCATTCTACCCCAATGCGTGTTGAGAGGGAAGGAAGTAGACTACAGATAGACTCACAGGTGGTGTGAACAGCGCCCGCCCACAGTTATAAGGATAACCCATGTGGACCAGTGAGCCAGAGTGTATCTGTCCACCCTCCTGTCCATCCTCATGGCAACCTTAGCAGGTAGGTTCTTATGCCTCTTTTGGCCAATGTAGAAACTGAGGCCCCACATGGCTATGCAGTGAATGCAAATTTCCCAAAGTCTGGGGTTTCATCTCATTCTCCCCTGTCTTGTGTGATCTCTGGAGAGCACACATTAAGTGGCAACTCCTGGGTGTGTCGTCTAGCCCCTCCCCCCACTCTGGAGCACTTGCCTGTCCACAGCATTCCCCAGCCCCATAGTGCTGCCAGGCATGTTCATGGAAGGTAAATATTCTATGCTATTAATTCCGGTTCCCTTTGGGGTTACTCAGCTGCCTTCTCTTTCCTGGGTCTCTGCCTGGGTTGGTCATGGAACCACTGGTGTGAGTGAGATCCTGCAGGGCTCAGGGGCACCTGCCGTTCCTCAGACTGCTTTTCTGGGACTTGGGCCCAGGCTCATGGGAAGAATGAATCCCAGGCATTGCAGATACATCACTCCACAGGTTACATTTTCATTCTGAACCCTCAAGCAGTTACTGCCCCTCTGTCTAGTCACTTACTGCCCAGTTCTGTGCCTCTGGAATGTGTTCCCTACTTTCTCACTCAGGACTTGCAGTGCTGAGCCAGAAAGAAACAAGGAGGCAGAACTTGATGAAATAAAGTCATCCATGGGGAGTCCTTCCTGTGCATGGCTACTGTTGTACAACTGAGAACATTCACAAATTGAAACTGAGCTGGAAGGGAGACTCTGGTCTGTCCCTGGTGAGTCCACTCTCTGCACTAAGGGATGATTTCCTGACTTGGGGTGACCAAAGGCAGTCTACCCACAATGTAGAAAATAGAAGATGAGAATAGATTGGAGACACAACAAGAAATGCATGGAGAGACAGGGCCCACAGTCACACCACAGGAAGCATGGCATGAGTCTCATACTGTGTGGCACAAAGAGTGTGGAAAAGGGTGGTCCTAGCCCTATATATCTCCCTTGGGGTTCTGTATCTTTTGTACATACTCTGTGGCTATATTTATAAATTGTTTTATAGTTATGTCTTCATTGCCTCCCTCTAGGCTGATATCTTTCAGAGTAGTGTTTTTCTAAATACACAGCAGAGCCCATCATACATCAGCAGGTCAAGACAGTTGGAATGACTGTAATAGGGAAATAGACTTCATAGGAGAATAGACTAAGCCAGAACTCATTACATCTAGTTGGGTAAAACAGCCCAGCCTAGCTTCACATCTCTACACATGCATGACTTGAACATTTTTCTCCATTCAGTTCTGACTATAAAGACTATGAAAACAATGGCTAGATCCTGGAGGGCTAAGCTAGGTCTTTATCTTCTGGATCCTCAGCACTTGGCATTCAGCACATAGTAGGTACTCACTGATGGGGAAGGGTGTGGTCAGAGAAGATGGATTACAAAGCTCATTCATCACGCTTAAAGCTACTGGTTTCTCTTTCCAACTACACTAGTCCCACTAAGTGTATGGAACACCTCCCAAGACACCCAGTGAAGATCTGAAACCACAGGTATAAGCCCTGTGGACTCGCAAATGCGGTGCCTTTTTTCACTAAGCAAGTGGCATATGTTGTGGTCATAGTGTGTGCAGTTTGTAAGTGTGAGAGTGAACCTAGCACTTTCTTTTTCTTCTTCCTTCTTCACACTTCCAATGGTTAAAGACTTGTTCTTAACATGCATCTTAGCAGCCTCCACAGACAATTATATATTTCCTAATCAAGTCAAGAACT